ATTGTTATTTGAATCCTGAGTGAATCCTTGAGGAAATTTGGATGCGGTTAGATAGTTTAATAATGCATCGAATCAGACATAAATTTTCTGGATGGGGTCATTGATTACTAATGGAGTACTAGCTGATAGTGTCAAAAACTCTGAGATATATTCTTTGGATAAGAATTGCCATCCATTCCATTTGTTTTGATTGTCGTCTCCCTCGTCCATTTCAGGAAATAGAAGCACTTTCATTTTAACAATTCCCATCTTTGAATACTACAATTGGACTGATAGACTTCGAAACAAGTTTCAAATAATAGTGAGTATCTGACAACAATTTAGGACGTTGTACAATTGAGACCAATATAAAGTCTTACTGTTTGAAAAGTAAGTCAGCCATATGCTCAAAGGTTGGATGAATGAGTTGGTGGAAAATCTTGGTAAGAGGATTATAGTCAAAAGGCACAATTACACTGTTGACATAGACACAAGATGTGCGGGAAGAACTAAAAAAAAGTTGCATTAGATGAAGTTAGATTTCCTTATTGATCGTTGTTGATGATGCGCAGGGCGAACCTAACGTTTATAGTGTTGTATCTTTCTTGTCCTGTGATTTAATCCAGTACAACAATCAAAGATGACACAAAATTATAGGGACGCAGTCCCTCCAAGACATTATAGACTACTACTCTGTTCAATTAGATAATCGCGTGTCTTAATTAATTGGGGAGATTGGTTTGTAAGAAGTTCAATAGGTTGTAAGTGTTGGGTAAGTGTAAAACATCCATACATCAATAGTAATTGGAGAAGAACCAATTGTTTTCTTAAACTATTATAATGGTAAAGAAAGCATGTGACATTTAAAAAAAAAATTTATAATGTCGTCAAATTTTTTTTTTTTTTTCACTTCATAGTAAAAATAATTAAGTTTAAATATTTGCTGCAAAATTTTACTACTATACGTGTTGGTTTAGTCTTATATACATAAATTATTATATGGTGGAATGATGGTTTAGATATCAATTAAATCTACACCTGATTTAGCTTAGTTTCTATTAAGATATCCTCCCTTATTATTCCTACCCTTAGCTGTAGTAGTAGTAGTAGTAGTAGTTGCCTTGTCTTTATGTCTATCATCAATTCTATTATAGTTTACAACACACAATTTTAAATTCATAAGAAAATTTTATTATTATTATTAATTATTAACCCCATTGAAAAAAAAATTTTTGGGTAAAATTAAATTTGTTAGTTAATAAATTAAATAAGATCATTAGACAGTCAGTACCGTATAGTATAGTATATAAAATAATTCATAAATAACTTTCCATTTTATTTATCTTCTCGATTTCTTTTGAACCAAAATCAAAAGACTTATTAATTTAAATTGGACAATTTCAAATATCATTTGATTATCATTCCATCAACTCATATTTAATAAACACATAATATCCAACAAAGTCTAACTTAATAACTTAACTTCCCTTTTGGAAAAAAAAAAAATCCGCCAAAAATTTTTTTTGGAAATATATTTGTTTATTTCCTTTTTAAATCAACTTTATTTAATTCTTTTTGAAACTAAACAAGTTCCACTATTAACAACTTGTCGTTAATATCTTAGACCTCAAACATATCCAACATTAATCCAATAATTGGAAACATTAACTACCATATAACTATTTAACTTCCCTACCCCCCTTGCCTCCCTTAAAATATAATTCAAAATGGCATCTCTGGAAATTAAAGAAAAACAGGCAACTGTATTAAAGGATAAACTAAATCAAAAGACCGGTTCCAAAGAACTGAAATCAAATAAGAAACAACCAGTTGTCAATGAAACTGAAAAGAAGAAACAAGCTTTCGTTACAAGAACTATATGGACTTTTGTTATGATTGGTTTCTTTTTCACAATTTTATCTTCAGGACATTTGGCTTTAATTATGATGGTACTATTGTTTCAAGTGTTAACATTTAAAGAAATCATTGCATTAACATCCGAACCAGCTAGAGATAAGAAGATTCCTTACAATAAATCCTTAAATTGGTATTTCTTAGTATCTACATGGTATTATTTAGATTTCCCAAATTTGGCTGAATTCTTTCAAGAATCAATTTATTCCAATAAAATCTTAACATTATTAGTTTTAAATCATAAATTCATTTGTTATAGTTTATACATGTCAGGATTTGTATTTTTTGTTTGGACTTTAAAGAAAGGTTACTATAAATTCCAATTTGCTCAATTATGTGCAACTCATATGACATTATTATTGGTTGTTTTTCAAGCCCATTTGATTATGGATAATATTTTACATGGTATAATTTGGTTCTTCTTACCAGCAACATTAGTCATTGTTAATGACATTTTTGCCTATTTATGTGGTATTACATTTGGTAGAACTCAATTAATTGAAATTTCCCCAAAGAAGACAGTTGAAGGTTTTGTTGGTGCCTGGATATGTACTGGTATTGCTTCAGTCTTCTTTTCCTATATCTTGTCACAATCCGATTATTTGATTTGTCCTGCCGTGAATTTATCTACTCATTTATACAATTTCCCTCATTGTGAACCAAATCCAGTCTTTATTCCACAAATATTTCAATTACCTCAAAATATCACCGATATAACTGGTTGGGAAATTATTTCAATAAAACCATTATATTTCCACACCGCAATTTTGGCTGCATTTGCATCGCTATTTGCACCATTTGGAGGATTCTTCGCATCAGGTTTAAAACGTGCTTTTGGTATCAAAGACTTTGGTAATAGTATCCCTGGTCATGGTGGTGTCACTGATAGATTTGATTGTCAATTTTTAATGGGGTCTTTTACTTATTTATATTATCAAACTTTCATAAGTAATCATAATATTAATTTAGGAAAGATTTTACAATTGGCAATTATTAATTTATCAATTCCACAATTATTACAATTAGTTAAATCGATTTTAAGATATTTAAATAGAGAAGCGGTTATTAGTGATGAAAAATTGATCCAAATCTTTGATTTATTGGATAATTGAATGAAAGATTAATCAGAGAAGCAATCATTAGCTACCTCAAAAAAGGACTCCATCCATCATTTGAATATATTACAGACAAGTGTTGCGTAAATTGAAATGCTGGTCCACCCACCCCACCTTTGTACTTGTATAATAATACACACATTTTATTTCTGTATACAATTCATTCTTTTAAATTACATAGATGATATTAATAAATGATTTGTAAATAAAAGCCTTTTTTTAATTAAACCACCTTGAACATTACTTAATGGACTTGATCTATCCATTTTATTCACGGTATATGACAGGATGGTGTCGAACATCAGATCTTATTTTGCAAAAAAACCTGAGCAATTCTAGCAGTGAAAAATCTAACTAACTGCGCCAAAACGTCGCAAGCTGAAACCAAAACTCTTAACGAATTGGGCGGGCGTGTCATGGCACGTGAATATCATGTGACATTTTGCACGTGAGCCAAATCATGTGACCAATTTCTAAATTGGAGTTAATTCGACACTCCCACCTGGTATAGGTAAGCTAGACTTGTCTATGGATTATACTGGTCTATATCTCGATAATATATGGCTTATAGCAAGAAAGAAGAAGTTCTTTCTGTTCTTTTGAGAGTATTCATGTATGAGCAATTGCTGACCACCCAACTCAAGCAAAACCTCTGATATGAACCTTAAGATATGACCCAATGCTCCATATGAAGTAGAGAATGTCATAGTCGGTGATCTTCATTTTATTGGTACTTGAAAACCGTGTCTGATCTTTGCTTTTGTGGTTATGATGTTTACAAACACTAGTTTACAAACACAAAAAGAAGTTCACAAACAGGAATTTCTGTGGGCGGCTAATTTTCGACCCTCCTCCAAATTGCTTCAAATCATATGGAAAGTAATCTCCCTTCTCCTGTCATCACATTCTGAGTTTGATCTATCGATTTAATTAACATGTGGTTGAAATACTGCTTGTTGAAATATCTATTTGTGGTTGAAAAGTTTACAAAAAGAAGTCCACAAACAGCAGTTAACAAATAGAAGTCTACAAATGGAGTTTTACAATTGGACGTTTACAAATATGTTTAAAGCTTTGTAAATTCGCAGGCTTGTTCATCATATACTACCTGTATCTCATGCCACATACTACATTATTTACATGATTTGCTTAAACATCCATGTCTTTTATTATCTATTCCTTCACGGACTAGTTCCTTATGTGATCCATCCATTAGCTCATTCAGTCAGTCAATCATTTTTCCATTCATTGATTGTATCCATCCTCCATACCATTCTACTTCGAGGTATTCAATCCTGTAAGAAGCAGCTGCCAGAGTTCGAAAGGTGGTGCCATACCTTCTGAGAAAACTATCGATAGCAAAGCAGTTGAAAGGTTATATTTCGAACTCATTTGGTGACAGATGGCGGGTTCGATGGAATAATATGAGAAATAAGTGAAGGATAACGGATGAGGGATCACAGAAGACAGATGAAATGTGGCAGGAACAAACGAATGAATGGATAAACGAATGAATGAATAAAAGAATGAAGCGATAAATAAATGAATATGAGCAGAAAACGAACAACAATGGAAGCAACTTTAGGTTTGCTGCTTGGTTCGTTCGTTTCTGTTACAACAATATAAATATACACTTGTACAAATCACAGAAGCGACCAGTATATGCAATATTGAAAGTGCCTTGCCTTTCAATCAATACCTTTGTAATATTGTTGCTTCTTTAGTCGATTTTCAACAATGGTCGTGTACTTTGTCAAATATTGATTTCGCTTAATTCGTTTTTTATTGCAAGCAATGTTGAGGAACCACCAGCCATTTAAATTAAATTATGGCGTTTGTACCATAACCATGACCTAGAAAGCCATTTATGAAATTATGGCCTGATATTGTCAGTTTCAGATATGAATGACATTTAGTGGTTGTTGTTACACAATCCCAATCTTTACTGGCTCGGTTTCCAGAAAAGAATTTGAGAGCAACTGAAAATCCCATCTAGATTGTAAAGCCCCTTTCATCAGTGGCGAGAAGCATTGGTTCGAAGGAATTGAGATATTGCCTGTAGCATTAAGGTGATGGCTTTCAAAATTATATAGGCAGTATGAAACAAATGATTGCAACCTCATGCATTTTATGATTCAAACATGGAGAAATAAAATAATTTGACCGTTGCCTTGTCGAGTGACTTTCCCCCCTGATTCCTAAGAAAATAATTTGGTCTACAATGGATCTCTCTAATCATTGAAGCATAGATACAATCTCGTGAATCAGTAGGTGTCATTTTTCTACAACATCTATTGGATTTCCTAATTGGGAAAGGGCTGCAAGCATTTTTTTCGTTAATGACTGCAAAAAAATTTCTTCTCGCTGGTTGAAAAATAAATTATTTGCTCGAAAGGCTTGGTACAATGACACCTCGCCTCTTTGCAATCAACTGATTCAGAAAATATGATAGTGAGTTGACGGCTTCCGCCCTTTGATGCAGGCAGCATCATTGCCATTCCAAGGTCTATATAAAGATGATAGGAATTGCCCTGCTTACGGTTCTTTACAATTTTTTTCATCTTTAGCGAATATCTTTTTCATTTAATACCAAGCTACTTTCATATTTTACGCAAGCTTTTTACCTATAGCCTACTTTAAAGTTCATATAATGATGCTTCAATTAATAATTACTTTATTTTGCTTTCTTCAATATATATCGGCACTTCCAATACCCGAAGTTGTAACAATATATCATTATGCTCCCACAAGCTATGTAACAACTACCCATTTTACAGGAACCACCACAGTCTTTTTACCTCCTGTCGGAATTTTCGTTGATTCAAATGGAAACACAGTTAGTACAACTACTTTAACTGAGGATGGATGGAATACTGCTCCATCCCCTGCCCCGGCCCCTGCCTCTGTTCCTCCCAACAACATTCAAGCAGACGAACCACCCGAAGATCAATTGTCTCTGGTACTGACCCCTTCCGAACAAGAACCACAGCCTGCAACTCAAGCACAACAGACTCAAGCTAGTCCATCAACTTCCAGTCAAGTTCAGTCAACTACATCTACTTCCACAACTTCTTCCAGCTCAACACCTTCCATTACTTCTACTACTCCTACTACTTCCATCACTTCCACTACTTCCACTACTTCCACTACTTCCCCTACTTCCATTTCTTCAACCTTCACCACCACCACTTCTATTACTTCAACCTCCAGCACATCAACTTCCATTAGTTCAACCTCCAGCACATCAACTTCAACGCCTTCAACAACTTCAACCTCCACTTCCTCATCCTCCACTTCCTCATCCTCCACTTCCTCATCCTTAACTACTTCATCAACTACTTCATCATCAACTACTTCATCTACGTCAACTACTTCATCTACGTCAACTACTTCGTCCACTTCAACTTCTTCCACTCCCGAACCAAGTTCAACTGGTTCCATTCCTGCTCCCGTTGGTATTGTGTACTCCCCATATGCTGATGATGGTGGATGTAAGACTCCAGAAGTAATTACATCAGATTTGACCATGATTGCTGGTAAGGGAATCAAGAAGATTAGATCGTACGGAACTGACTGTTACGCAATAGATGTTGTATTACCAGTTCTGTATGGATTAGGAATGGTTGTAAATCAGGGAGTCTGGATGGAAGATGGGGTTGATTCTATTGATTCTCAAATCCAACAAATTATTGCATATGGTCAAACGAGTGGATGGGAAGTTTTTGAGTTCATAACTATTGGAAATGAGGCTATTAATTCCGGCTTTGTTTCAGTTGATGACTTGATAAGTAAAATAAATTCTGTTAAGCAATTGTTAGAAGATTCGGGATATACGGGTTTTGTTACTACTGCTGAACCTCCAGCTAGTTTCATTTCATATCCACAATTATGTACTGAATCTGAAATTGATATTGTTGCTATTAATGTACATTCTTATTTCAATGAAAATATCTCCCCAGAAAATGCTGGCGGTTATATCATGAGCCAGAAAGCACAAGTGGAGGAAATATGTACTGGAAAGGCAGTATACGTTACAGAAACTGGATACCCATCTCAAGGAATGACCAACGGTTTAAACGTCCCTTCTCCAGAAAATCAAAGAATTGCGATTGCTTCTATAATAGAGGAAACTAATAGCGATTGTACTATCTTGACTACTTACAATGACTTCTGGAAACAACCTGGACCGTATGGAATTGAACAATATTTCGGTGTTATTCAATTGTTTGAATAATCCATTTATCAATAGTTTCGAATTTTTTATACCTTCGTTTTCATTTCTTCTTAACATAGTTTTATTTAATATAATTATTATATCGTTTTAAAGATTTCTATTCATATAAATTCAAATTTTGTAAAATTATTGCAACCATTTTCTTGTTTTCTCAGTTAGAAATTTAAATACTTATTATTATCAACTTGTTAAGTATTGGGTTGACATTCTAGAGAATTTGCGGTGCTTAATACGAATAGTCGTATTAACAATTTCCATGTAGTTTAAAAATCAGACAAGGGGATAATACTTTGTAGTAATAGTAAGAAAACGACCTATCTAAACGAAAGTCGGGTAGCCCCGTCAAAGTGTTTCTCAACGAAAGAGTGAATGGACACATCAATAAATATTTATAGATACGCTCCTTGTAACAATCACGAATTGAAATAACTAAGGAAGCTTAATATCATTCAAGGCTTATATGGTTTAGATCAGTTATCTATTCAGACGTATCCCTGTCTCTAGTCCGAAATTTTAACAGTAGATACTCTATAACGAAACAGTCACATAAATCCAGTTATGAGTTCATTAAGAGAAAGGCATCATGTTAGGAGGAAAGCTACTCTGAACTAAGAATTGAGTCTCAAATCGCTTATACAATTAACATCAACTTAATTGGTAGGGATCTGGAATATTCGGTTGACCGAAAGTTTCCCCTTATGCCGCCTCCATTCGCACATGATATGGACTACGATAGTTGAAATGAATTGGTACTTAATTTGGGATTCAGAAGACGACCTTCTTGTGTGGAAATTGCATGGTCTGCCTCCTTCTAAAAAAGGAATCTCGATTTTGTACAGCCTACCATCATGGCATTGTCTTTCATGCTATTGGTTTGAACGAATCATCGTAAAGATTGTTGCAAAATGGTTGCTTCAAACAAAGAAAAGCACCAAACATGAACTTGCTGAAAGCTGCACATGCTGGTTATGGGAGTTTTGTGAAACAAGGGTCCCATGTATTAAGCTGTCTTGCGATATGGGAGATCCCTGATAGCGTCCGACGAGTTCAAACGGGTTTTGTGTGATGTTTAATTTTTAGTACCGAACGAATTGTTGAAAATGCCTTGGCAACAGTACCTATCCTCTTTGCCAGTAAACCTAGTACTAGAAATGGTTCCCGTTTGAACCTCATCCAGTAACCATAGCTCAATAAAATGTCAGTCCTGCTATGATACGACATAGTTGATTAAGAAAGTCATATATTGGGGCCAGATTGCAGCAGCCTGTCGCAATCCCTGGACATACTAGATCGACTGTAGGTACAAGGTGTTTCCCAGAATAAGCTTCCAGAAATGAACTGCATGCCAGTACTAGAGATAGCCAAAGTACTGAAAAAAATCTATTTATGCTCGTGTGCGAAGACGATGGAGTATAATTTAGCCGTCCTTCAAATCAGTTCGTCTCGGCATTGTTCCCAATTATAGAAACAATACAAATACAAGCCAGTAAAGGCGACATTGGTTAAACAAAGAATATAATTAAAGCGCGTACATGCAGAAATTTAATTTTACAAGTACGAGGAAACAAAGTCTTGTCTTTATAAATCTACCAATTAACAAGAATTCTTTCATAAGCAAATTACAAGTGAAAAATTTTTATTTTTTTATGCATAAAAACCTAAAAAAAAAAATTTCATGCATTAAAACGGTTTAATTTAGTTTTGTGTTATGATTTTTATATCTGAAAAAAAAAATTTGCCTAATCTTTTGTGGGACAAAATCTTTTTCTTACAAATTTTTTTTATTTTTATTTTTATTGAAAAACAACAACTTTTCTAAAAATTAAAACTATAAAAAACCTATAAATATAAATAAAACAACTTGATAAATAAAGTTTGAACTAAAAAAGGTTGAAGGGGAAACTATGTACTTGAAATTAATTGAACAATTATGTATAGTAGTAATAATGGTACGTGTAATTATTACTATTGGTAGCAACAACAAATAAAAATTAAAAAACTAATAAATATGAAGAAATAAAAGGATGCAAAAATATAATAAACAAGCTCTCTTTGTTTGATTGTCTGTCTCTTGAAACAAATGTAGCCTCTTTCTCAAGTTAATTACAAGAAAAAGTCATTGATTAAAAAGTTCCCGGTTGAAACCATTTCACTGGCTCTTCCTGTCAATATACATCTCTTGTTTAAAATCTTAAAGATGTCTTGTGAACTTGAAGGACTCATTCCAGTGGCCATCTGGCTGTGATTGTTTGGTGAATTTGCTTGGTAATCTGAAGCCAAATTCAAATGATTTTGACGATAGTTAAATCTTTGGTTTATTTTTGGAATATACAATGTGGGAGAAGATGTAGTTGGAGAAGATATTTCTTCAGTTGGTGATTTTGGTTCTTGTTCTTCTTCTTCGTCATTGTAAGCAAAAAAATCATCAATTGTATATTCTCTTGATTTTCCAAAGTTAACATTCTTAAAAAATGGAACTTCGTCTCTAGTTGAAGGTTTAGGACTGGAGGGTTCAGATGTGGAGTTGAGTTGTGATGTTTCTGACTGTTGAGTATTCTTATTAAGTAATGCAAATGTATCATCATATTGATTCATTCGCAACTTTCTCGAATAGTAATTTCTGATATTATCTTGTAAAATCTTGGTGAAATTCACTGAAGCTATTTCTCTAATATACTCTTCTTCTTCCTCTTCTTCTTCCGAGGATGATTCCAAGTCAGATAAGAAGTCATTATTTGTACTAGTCAAACTCAACAACTTTTCAACTGGGTCAATCTTATCTGATTGCTCTTCTTGAGCTTCTGTTTCTCGCGTGATCTTTCTCTTTTTATTTATATGTTGATCATGATCTTGTACATGTGTTTCTGGAACTTGCTGTTTTGTAACTGCAGTATTGGTGTTAGTTTTAGCCTTTACGGTCAAGGTACGGGTACGAGTAGACTTACGAATTGAAGACATTTTGTATTGATGCTAATAAATATAAATAAACCCAAAAATAAAAAACTTGTAAACGAAATGAAATAAATTAAATTAAATTGCTTATGTTGATTGGAATCGATATAGGTGCTAAACCACTTGTTGGAAGCAAAGGATATTGGAAAAGTAAAAGTAACCTGTTGAAGAAACTCGAAATTGGCACAAGGATTCTAATGGGGGCAAGAAGAGGAATTAGGGAATAATCAAGTACTTTATATATGACTGAAAAAAAAAAATTTTTTGTTATGGTTTTTATTTTTTTAGAAAAAAAATTTTAAGGAGGGATAAAAAAAAAAAACATTTTCCTTTCATGTAGCATTAAAAAATAATTGATATTTTTTGTCTGTCGTTTTCCGTATACCTAAAAAATTTTCAAAAAAGATTTTTCAAACAATACATACAAAAGAAATTTTCTTTGACAGTACATGTTCCAAATTCATATTATTTTTTAAACTAAAAAAACCTATTGTCTGAAGCATTAAAAAATTATCATCAATATTTTTATGGAAAAGTGAAGGATAATAAATCAAAGTCATTTAGATCATAAGGTTTAACGTTTTGGAGTGACCAACCAATATGAAGTGAACATGTATATGACGTCTTTCTCGTATATATCGCTCAGACTTTTGTTTAAAAGAAACCCTTCTAATCATTTCATGTTCCAGCTTTCATTTCATGACTTTCAAACCCCTTTTTGCCCCTTGATGGTGATCTAGGTCATTTGCTTTATGCCAGTTTGCTTAAACATATTTATTCCCTTCTTCAACAGGAATATTCTTGTATGCTGGAGTATATTGTAGGAGATATATGGAAGGCATATTATGAGAGTACACGTTGAATTAACTTACTCATACCCCGGGCTATTGACAACTCTCCATGGATAATATAGATCCGTGGGTTTCTTGTTGGGTTCTTATTTTTTTGGCTTTTGTATCGTAGGGCCTTTCTATTCAACAGAATTGAAAACCTGTTGTTTTTTGTAAGGCACTTTGTGTATTTTCTTCTGCTATGCATACTGATTATTGTATGGCATTCGGTTCACTTAATAATAACAGGCTTGATTATATAAATAATAATTTATTTTCTATTGTTCTGACTCCAATTTTTCTGGGCCTTTTATTGTTTTTAAATTTCTATTGTTTGATATTTTTTTGCAACAATATATAAAAATTTGCTAAAGCTAAATATAGGTAGTGATTCGGATAAATAGCTCCTAGAAAATAACTTGGTAATTAGCTTGCATTTATTTTTACGTCCTGCATCATTCGAAAGTCCGGCTCGTATGGGACTAGCTAATCGCCGTCGAAATTTTTGGCTACAAATGATAGTTCTAAGAACAAATTTGATGGTTCTACTAATTACTTTTGAACATTGTCAAGGGTTATAGAATATTCTGTAAACCAAAATTTTAGAATGCAACTGAACTAAAATAAAAAGGTATCTTTTACAAATGTCAATAAAGAACTTTGACTTATTGTCTCCGGCATATAATTTTTTAAGTCAAGTTTATAAAATAAACTCTTTATTCCAAATTCACCATATAAAAAATAAATCAATCTCTTGGGAGGGGGGCATAAGAGGCAACTAATACCGGTTGCTTTTTTATGAAAGAAGAATACGCTGCCAATATTAATTTAAGTATTACAAAAATAAAAGTCAACCAATTAGCCCCATATTAATTCTATCTGAAGCCCAGCTAGGTTAGCTTTCATTCTATTGAAAATCAAAAACGATGTCAAGGAGTGAAAAAGATCAAATAGTAAGTTAAATTTCATTGCTGATTTGGATAGTTTATTTACAAAACTTTAATTTTTATTCGCGGCACAACTCACCAGCAATTAGAAAGGCTTATTTGATCTTGATTATTGCAGTTCCGTGAATGATTCCGAATTATGTGGGATATCAACGTTGACAACCACATAATGTCTTCAAATTGAAGCATAAGTAAGGGGGGCGTGGGGTTTTACGTTGCAATTTCATTTAGATATAGTCAGGCCCTATAATTTAGTAATGAAATTTTGATAGTTCAATATCGATAATTCAATATAATTACACGAACTGCTGGAAAAAAGGAACTAGATCTGAAAATTCCAAATTTAAATCCTTATTTATTTGCATTGATATTTTTCATAAAAAGGTACCCCACGTAAATTACTACATTGGGTGATACTGACCTTGATAGATCTAAAGACAAGTTCATATACCGAACGAATAATTGGTCCCTAATTCGGAAAATAACCAGAAAAATTGAAAAAAAATACAATTCAACGTTATTCAACCCATCCCCTCTTGCAACTACAACAATACTCAATTGCCTGAGAGAAAGAGATTGTTTATTTCCTGCCAGTTCTTTTCAAAGAGTTTATCCCAATAACAAGATGATCCCATGTATTTTCCACTTCTGTCGGGCAATGTCATTGCTGATGTATTTTTCCCCTTTCCTCATCCTATATGATTGTAATGGGAAATAAAGGACCTTTATAACCAAAGTAAATTATTGTATGTATAAATTTCATGTTATTATTTTCGTGACTGGATTGAAAAAATGAAATGTGGAGAATGTGGTATACTTCCAGACAATTTAGAAAATGTTCCAATTATTTTATAAGCGATTTTAGTTCAATTTTAGCTCATACATTAGTTAATAACAAACTTTCGACTTTTCTCCCCCCCTTGACTCACTATTATTAGACTGACGTCACCAAAGAATAACAATTCCAGTGGTCTAGAATTCGACTCTTACAAGCTGTTTTTAAACCATATTCACCCAACGTGTAGTTGACGTAGCCACGTTCACGTCAAGTTGGGATATGATATTCATTAATGCATGGAAGAATATCCATGCGGCATGCTTCTAAAGATCATTCGACTGCCGAATAATAATTTAAATAGATTCTTTCAAAGTGAATGTTTTTAATACTTAGCTTGTCCTTCCCCCGTCACTTTGATGCCATTAATTAAGCCAAATATTCAGGATTTGAATTAACCCTAGCTTAAACTAGTCTCTTTTGGTGTTCGGTCCTAATTTCCCTTTCAATTCCCTTGAAATTTAGTTTATCAATAATAAATATAAGGCGCTCGGCGATCTTTCCAGATAGTCTTTTCTTTTTCATTTCTCCAAAATAATAATATCAGGCAATTCTAATTATTTATTAATTATGCACTAAACTGCCAACATGCATGACATCAAGGAAGATCTGTACCTATATCTTGCATAATCCTTATTACGGATATAGATTAATCAAATATCGTACGAGAATCGTTTCTAGATCGATAAGGGGTAATGATATGTCACTTTTACTGCAAAAGCTCGACTTAGATAATGGAAATCAATTTCCACACAAGCTGAGAGTTGAACTAAATTTCGTATGAACTCTCTCTAGATTAAATGGATCCCTGGAGTTCTTTGCATGTCCTTGAAAACGACAAGTTGGACAAGAAGTCCATTTACGAACTTTCGCAGGTGGGAGCTGTACAGCCTAGGTTTTAATGACGGCAGGACTTGTAGGAAGTGGACTACAGCTTTAACAATAGGAAGATAACAACAGCGGGCTCCCAACAAGAAATTTATTGTCAAGATAATGGCCATTCTGGTCTAGCATGCCCTGTAGAATGAAGTACTAAATGCCTTCATGTTCCAAATCAGATTTATTGTAGCTTCATTTTCGTAAACGAATTTTCTATTCAAATCTAGAAGTGCAGCAAAATAAGGCTCTCAAATAGCGTGGAAATCGTTCCATAACCTTACATTTTTAAGTAAAGGATTAAGGAAATCTTTGAGAAGTGTATCACTTGGTAGCTCCTGAGAAAAGTTGTAATACCGCTAGAGCAGGTTTTTAATTTGCCAAACGAGGCGATTCACAGAGTATTCTTATTTTAAACACTCAAGCTTGTAATTCCCTACTGGTTGTATCCCAATCAGAAGTATTTTACTTCTTGTTTCAGGTATTTCAACCTCTGGTGTAGAACCTGAAGCAACAATAAATTAATTTTGGAAGAAAATACACCGAAAAGTGCGGGAACCTGTATAAAGTTGCGTTCTTCGAAATTAAATGTGCGATAAGACAAAAGTCATTGTTATCATTCCCCACGTTGATTGCCATCGAAGTTAGTTGTATAAAAACATACACAGTTTTCCTACTTTTTGCAAATAAAAATCGATCCAGTCCACCACAGCCAACATATTCGATTTAAATATGAAACTGTTTCTATTATATCTATTCTTTGCTACGCTCATCAGTTCCTCCCCATCAAACCCTCAGGCAATCTTTTCAGTTCCTGAATGTCCAATAGACATTCCAATTTCGTGCACAAACTCCACTCCAATCGCCAATTCATGTTGTTTTGAATCACCTGGGGGGATTCTCCTTCAAACCCAATTCTGGGACTATCAACCTGCCATTGGTCCCGATGATTTATTCACCCTTCATGGATTATGGCCTGATAACTGTGATGGATCCTATTTCCAATTTTGTGATCGAGACTTGGAAATCGAACCAAATGGACGTACTATAGAATCGATTATTGTTGGTATATATGGCGATGAAGCATTATATGGAGAATTGCAAAGGGTTTGGAAAGATTGGAAGGGGCAAGACAAAAGCTTATGGGCTCATGAATTTAATAAACATGGTACATGTGTAAACACGATCCATCCGACTTGTTACGCGAATGATTTTAAACCACATAGGAATGTATATGATTATTTCAATATTTCTGTTGAATTATATAAAAAATTGCCTTCTTATAATTGGTTGGTTGATGCTGGTATAGCCCCATCCGAAACGCGAACATACTCCAAGCAAGAGATCAGTGATGCATTGAGCAAGAATTTCGGTTCAGAGGTATTTTTCAAATGCGATTCTAGCAATGCCTTAAATGAAATATGGTATTATCATCATATCCAAGGTAGCTTACTACAACGTAAATTTATCCCTATTCCTACTGTTAGAAATTCAAATTGTCCAAATGAAGGAATTAAGTTTTTACCAAAAGGAAGTAAAAAACCTATTCAGCCTCCAACTCCAGGAAAGAAAGGATATATCAAATTAACTGATCATGATGGCTGTCTTATCTCCAATGGGCACTGGTATACTCAAGGTACATGTGCTACGTTTAGAATCATAGAAGCTAGGTTTGGCGGGGTGAACATCAGATCATCAAGGGGTTATTGTGGATTGAATCCAAGAGGGCAGTTTGCATGTCATTCGGGAATCGATCATAGTTTCCAATTTCAAATAGACAAGGACGGAAAGATTGGATATGGTGGAAAGTATGATTGGTGCTTCGATAAGGATGGATCTACAGGAGGTGGGAAAAATATGCAAGTCCCCATCATCTTGTCTGATGGTAGTTGCGATGAAACGTTCCAAATATATCTTAGTTCACGATAGTTGAGCCAGAGCATTCCAAATATACCTTAGTTCACGATAGTTGAGCCAGAGTAACTACAAGTTGTTTAAATATTCTCTATCATCCGTTGAGGATACCTTTATTGAAATGTATGAACAAGTTATATAAATCTACCTTTTTCTTTGAATCTTTTAACATAAAAAAAATGTCTTCAAAATCAATTGAATGACCCCAAAATATCTAGAACTAATAATAAAAAAAATATGTGAGAGACGAACTCTCCATTAACCAAATCATTAAATGCAGTTGATGCAGTTTAAACTCATTAAGTTTCGTAAAAATCTTTTGATAAAAATACAATATGTGAAAAAAAGGTAGCAAACAAGATATTAAACGCGTTTAATATCTGTAAATGTCAGCCTTGAATGGACCAGTTTCTGGAATACCCAAGTAATCAGCTTGGACGTCGGTTAAAGTGGTCAATTTAGCACCCAAGTGTTCCAAGTGACATCTGGCAACAGTTTCATCCAAGATCTTTGGTAATAAGTGAACACCGATTTCAAATGGACCAGTCTTGGCGAATTCAGGGAATTGAGCTCTGAAATCTTCATCGTTGGACTTATATAAGGCAATTTGAGCCAAGACTTGATTGGAGAAGGAACAAGACATGACAAAGGAAGAGTGACCAGTGGCACAACCCAAGTTAACTAATCTACCGTCAGCTAATAAGATAACATGACGACCGCTCTTCATCAAATATCTGTCAACTTGTGGTTTAATGTTAACAACGGATTCGGCATTAGCCTTTAACCAAGCAACATCAATTTCAATGTCAAAGTGACCAATGTTACAGACAATGGCATCTTCTGGCATTTGTTCAAAGTGCTTACCAGTGATGATATCTCTACAACCAGTGGTGGTAACGAAGATTTGACCGATAGAAGCAACTTCATCCATTGGAGCAACTTGGTAACCAGAAACAGCAGCTTGTAAAGCATTGATAGGATCAATTTCAGTAACAATGACTCTAGCACCCATACCGTGTAAAGCCATAGCACAACCCTTACCAACATCACCGAAACCGGCAACAATGGCAACTTTACCAGCAATCATAACATCAGTGGCTCTCTTGATACCATCAACTAAAGATTCTCTACATCCATATAAGTTATCGAATTTAGACTTGGTAACGGAATCGTTAACGTTAATGGCTGGGACCTTTAACTTACCATCTCTTAAAGACTTGTATAAGTGGTGAACACCAGTAGTGGTTTCTTCAGATAAACCATAACAGTCTTCTAACATTTCTGGGTATTTTTCATGAACTAAAGAAGTTAAATCACCACCATCATCCAAGATCAAGTTTAATTTCTTGTTGTCCTTGAAGGCGAATAATTGTTGTTCAATACACCATTGGTATTCTTCTTCAGTTTCACCCTTCCAAGCGAAAACTGGGACACCAGCAGCAGCAATGGCGGCAGCAGCATGATCTTGAGTGGAGAAAATGTTACAAGAAGACCAAGTAACTTCAGCACCTAAAGCAACTAAAGTTTCAATCAAGACAGCGGTTTGAATAGTCATGTGTAAACAACCAGCAATTCTGGCACCCTTTAATGGTTGAGAAGGACCATACTTCTTTCTAATGTACATTAAACCTGGCATTTCATTTTCGGATAATTCAATATCCTTTCTACCGAAAGCAGCTAAAGAGATGTCGGCAACCTTGTAGTTAGTGGCTGGAGTGTTGTTGTTGGCAGTCATTGTTAATTATGATTGATGGTTTCTAAACAAAAAGAAAGTAGGGAAAGAAAGAAAGAAAATGAATTAAAAAAAAGTGATTTCGACTTCTTTTTATATTTTTTTCTTTTTTTTTTATTTAGAATATTTTTTAATTTTTCAATTGAAAAAAAAAAAAATTTTCGTTACTCAACAAAAAAAAAAAGAAAGAAACACGTTGAAAATTTTGATTCCAGCCATCGCTCGTATAGACACACCGTTTAAAAATTTTCATTGTATTATTCTATTAATATCATTGATTTCTTTTTTTTTTTCACATGCTTTCCCTAGGAAAAATTTATGGGCTCTATACAGTAATGTTTATGATTTGAATGAGTTCGTTTAAACTCATGGTTTGTTAATTATATCGAGATCTAAATTTCTTAGCTGACTTAGAAGGAAAGAGAAAATTGGAAAGCAGCCATAGATTTGTTGACCGTTGACACTTTAACAGTCTTAATCCTACTTGTACTGAGAAAGCCAGGTATGCGTATAACTATGTAATTGGCATTGCCTTGGTGTTTTATATTATTGATGATTGTCAAAAAGTGCTGATCATTTGAGCGTTCTTCGAAATTCTTTCTCTTGAAAGGATTTAGAAGCAATTTCAAATAAAGTTCTATCTTAAGTGTAGCACTCCTATCTTTCTTCATATCAAACCTACCCCTTCAATAAAAGATATTATAGTAGAATGTTAATTTATGTTTTTCTGCAGCAATTACACCAAAATTTTGGTCAAAAACATTCCTGTCAACTATTTGATCAATTGAGTGAACACTCAGCAATTGTGGGAGGAAGGCAAACACTTCTAAAATTATCCCTAAATCAAATTTGAAGAAACACATTCCAGGTACCCACATTCATCTTCCTTCATTCAGTGGTGCTATGTAATACGGCTATAATGAGTATCTCTGAAGAACCTTTTTATTTTCCAATTTGGTTGCAAAAAATAAAGAGCCACGTGATATAAACCGTGCAAAATACACGTTAAAATTCTGCTAGGACGACCACCATTAGAAGTACAGCTGCTACATATATATCCATTTATTATTCATTAGTATCTGAAGATCCTGCTAAGGAGTTAATCACTAGATTTAACACTTTCTAGATTCAATAGCATGGTAGAATTTTTAAACAACAGAAAGCACCATGTGTGAACCGATACGACATTTTCTCTAGATTTGAGAGACATTTTTCCCGTCTCAGCTTTTTCTTCCTTTTATTTGAACAATAGATCAGAAGGAATTTAAACTTATTTTATCATTTGCAAGACAGGTACCTAACAAACAATGACTAGCGTAATATCAGCTATCAGAATTTCATCCAAATCATTACCCCCTACAGCAGCTGTTATCTTCTTACACGGCTTAGGAGACACTGGTGATGGATGGTCGTGGTTTCCACAATTAATTGCACAGACCAAAATTCTCAATAGCCATGAAAGTATTAACTACGTGTTCCCTAATGCTCCTCAACAGCCTGTTACCGCTAACCAGGGATATGTGATGCCGTCTTGGTTTGATATTTTTGAATTTGGAAATCCAAATGCAAGACAAGACGTTGACGGTTTTTTTAAAGCTTGTGAAACATTGAAAAGTATCATTAAAGAGCAGATTGAGGTATACAAAGTTCCACCTGGAAAAATCATAATCGGAGGGTTTAGTCAAGGTGCGGCTGTTAGTTTAGCTACTATAGCCACTTTGGATTTTAAAATCGGGGGATGTGTTGCCTTGTCCGGATTTTGTCCAATCGCTAAAGAAATTGAAAGCAGAATAAATTCATCGAATTTTGATACTCCAATTTTTCAAGGTCACGGAAGTGCAGATCCACTTATAAATTTTGATCATGGATTAAAGACGAGTGAACTTTACAAACGATTGGGGTTCAATAAGTTATCATTCCATCGGTACCAAGGGGTCGCCCATAGTGCGAGTGACCAAGAGCTAATTGACGTTGTAAAGTTTTTAAAGCAAGTATTAGAGTAGTAAAACTTTTTACAGTTAATAGAATCATCTTTGTATAGATCACGTAGCTACAAAAATATAGAAAAGAAACATCTTATTTATTTATAATCCTAATTGGTGTTGAATGTAGACACTTTGTTTTTATCATAATTTGCAAGGGCATAAAAAAAAAGGCAACGTTTCACCAACAAACACGACACCAAAAAACAAGATACTCCACCACCACCACCACTTTTTTTTTTCAAAGAATTGTAAACACCAACAATATTCAAGTCAATTCCAATAGTAACAAGGTTCTGCTTTTTGATTCGACAATGGATCCCACCAAAAGATCGAATAACTTACACAGATTTCCGCGATCCAAAAGAAAATCAGAAATGAATCAATTGTCTTCCAAGGATAAGAAATACTATCAACAAGTCGAAAGAGCCCTTGCAAGTTTCGATTCACTTGATGAATGGGCTGATTATATTACATTTCTAACTAAATTACAAAAATCTTTGCAATTTACCCCTAATGAGAATGAATTGTATTATATACCATTTCCTCAAGATGTTTCGTATAAATTATCACTATGTTTATCATCGACTTTACCCAACGGGGTACATCAAAAAGCGTTGAGTATTTATGACTTCATATTTGAGACATTGACAGCAGATTCTTTAAACGATGATATTCACATCTGGCTTCCTGGTTTATTGCCATTATTTTCATATTCATCAATCCTGGTTAAACCATTGCAAATCAAAATTTTTAAAATGGCAATTGCAAAATTAAATCAAAATAGTTTGAGAAATATTTCGAAACCTTTAACTTTAAGTTTATTGTCAGGCTTAGACGACGAAAATTCAGAATATTTTAATGATGTATTGGAATTATTAGAAATATTTAAGTCACTTCTCAATGATGATTCTCAGTTTTGGAGAACTATATTTATCTGTATCATTGGAAATCCAGAAAAGAGAATTGGTGCTTTGAATTGGTGTACCAGAAGACTTCCGATTTTCCATGGAGTTCGTTCCAAGGAAGCTGAAAGCTGCTTACACCCTGATCCCGGGCTCTTACTTCGAGCATTCACAGTATCAATAAATTCCAAGGTCAATGATATTATCATCGTGCGAAGATATTTTGATTTGTTAACGAACAACTTTCCATTGAACATTTTGGACGATATAAAAATTTCGGCCAGGGACAAGGAATTGCTTTTGATGTGGTGTTGTAAGGTTACCTTAAATAAAGACATGAGCTTGAACAGAAGACTATGGAACTATCTTCTTGGACCAGAAATTGATCATACACATCAGTCCCCATTACAGCAAGAGCTCGAGAATCCTACCAAGCCTCATCTTAGTCGTTCAGAGTATTTTGCCAAGTATGCTTTGGATGCATTATTTGCAGGAATGTTGAATTTGCTAGAGTTGAATCCAGTGGAAGCATTTAAAATATCAACTTCGTTAATAATGGATAGATGGGAAATTAGTAACTTAGTCACACCAAAGCTCTTTTCTAAATTTTTGGTGAAATGCTATCAGTGTCGCAATAATCACGAGCTTATGGTCTCCGCCACAGGATTCTTTGACGGAATTGAAAGTAGCTACATTTGGAACGATATTATAAACATAATTTGTTCCACGGAAGAAGATAATTCAGAAATTGATATGCTTGGATTTATTTTGAAAGAGTTTAATTTCAACGAAGAAGAGATGATAACACAACATGCTCCATTGGCTATTGTATGTATGCTCGCAAGCTTCAAAAAAATATCACACAAGAGAGTAGAAATATTACAATCTCTTATTAACTTAGTTCCTCCCCGGGCATATCACGACATCAAAGAACTTAGTTACTCATCCATTGATGTGATTAGCAAGATTAAAGAGTTTTATAAATTACGACTTGAAAATTCTCCGGTGGAAATCCCATTTACAAAGGAAGAAGTTTCATTTTTTGTGAGTGACATGTTGGTAGACTTATATATTGAGCATATTACAGATATCAATTATAGCTGTAGATTAGCGGACGCGTTGTACCAAATATTTACCACCATACCAAATCATCAGATCCCCCAAAAACTTGTACAAAGGGTAATGAAGTTTCCGGTCCCAAATTTTACGAGTAACCGAGACGAGCAAGAAGAAGAGCAAGAGGCACTATTGGTTATTTTTGGAGTTGCCAGGCTCTTCTCGTTATCTTCTTCGGTACCATTGAACCAAGAAGCAAAATTATTTAAGATTATACTTTCAAATATATGGACCTCAATTTCATCATCAAATCCAGCAAACCATCAAGTAGAGCTGATCCGAGTTTTGTATGAATTGGAAACTAATAGTTCCTTTCATGAAATTGAAGGAGGGATATTGGAATTGTTTCTTGCGTTGCCTAAATTGAAAAGAATAGTTTCATTAGAAACATTATGGACACATTCAATCGCCATTACTGATTCGGATCTGCTTTTGCAGCGTCCGCTAGAGATCGTATTAGATGAATTGGACGAAAATGACGGGGAATTAAACTTGGGAGTTTCTGAGTTTTTGGATAAAGTAATCAAAAATGGAGGAGGTAACCGATTATTGAAGTTGCTAATTAACCCGATTTTGAGTTTTGGACTATTACAAGGAGAGAGGAAATATTTGGATATTGATGACGACTTATTTCAATTTTCTTATTATTTAAAGCAATTAACGAAGGTGATTGGATTTAACAATAAAACTGTTCGCGAAATATTCAATAATGAGTTTGCAGTTATGGACAATAATCAAAAATTATTATTAATCAAAGGTAATGATTGGAACATATCGACGTACAAATCATTAATCATGAATGTTATTGAAAAGTTTTTAAGCTTGGAATTGAGTGCAACTATATTGAATGACAAAACTGTGTTACATCAATATTGGAACAGTGTCACTCATGTGCTAAAGATAATCCGTTTATTAGTAACAGGCAACGAGCCTGAATTTAATCAATTATTTAGTAGATTGATAGGGAATGCAGCTAAGTTTATTGAGGTGAGAAAGTGCTACACTGTTGAGATCATTCAATCGGAATTCATTGGTTGTATTTTCCATTTCTTAGAAATATCACAGGACTTAAGATTGCATTTGAATTTGTTCGAGCTTGAAGAAGATAAGGAATCCATTTTGGTTAACTTTATTGCTTCCGGTATTAAGCATTGCGAGACGTCAGTACTATTGGAAAAGTGGATATCTCTCTTAACTAAATCAATATATTTGTTTGGTGAATCAATTTTCCAGGGTCTAATTGATTTGAACAGAGCTTTAGTGAACAAATTATATTCTTTGTTCTTTCAATTGTCGTCACTTGAACCATTTAGCAGTCTGCAAGACCTCAATGCGTCAATAAGTATATTGATACACGGGTTGGAAGACTTATTATCCATAAGTCATAGCTACTTATTAACTTCAAAAATCGCAGAACTTAATCTGCCGCCACAGGGAGACAACTTTTTAAACACTGTTATTCTGGGAGTATTTCAAATCGAGTCCCCTGCAACTCAGACAAAAGAACAGAATAAGCTACGCTCCGTTTTGTTGGCGTTTCAGGAAGCATCCCGGGTTTGTTATAAAATATGGTATTGGGCAGATAACAAACCAAAGATACCACCAGGAAACAAGTACTATTCCAAAAATTCCTTGATTTATGTTTGTCATAAATTAAAATTTAGGGCCAGAAAACTTCTTGAAACGTTGATGGAATTAGAAAGACAAGAAGTAATCGAAGTGTTGATCCAACTAGATTCCGAAACACTTGAACTAGAAAAGCATGATAACACCAAGTTAGGATCACTTAAGCTATTGAACATCTTAGATGGTGGAAGATCACAGGTATCTCTTCCACATTTGTTCGATGCTATTATATTCCGAAACGCCTCAACTTTATTGGATGCTTCCCAGGTGAATAAGTTAGGGTTGATGAATATCCATTTATCAAATAGGGAGTTGGTGAATTTCTTGATCGATTTCATTGATGCAATTGATAACGACACCATTATTGATATTTGGAGCTTAACTATGAATTTCCTAAGAACTCTTATTGGAAATCCTGTCCACTTTCAAAGTGTTTTACCGTCCTCTTTGAGAATAGCTCAACGCCTATCAATAAAATCATCAAAAATGAAAGATTCAAGAAATAAGAAAGAATTGGGTGAAGTGTTTTTGAAGCTTTTTAACCTAATTGGATCATCTAAGCACGGCCAGGAGGACAGCAACAGAGAATTAAATGTAGGGAGTAACGGGCTGATCGCAGACGACATAGTTGATCCTATTATCGAAGTAATTCCGTCTTTGGAAGATATCTTACAAGATTCGGATAAGATTTCTGGATCGTTAAGTTCATTAATTAACAATTTTATATCACCACAAGTGAAATCAAAGGAGCTTTCAGATGTGAACGAAAGGGTGCTTCGACTTATTGAATGCATAGGAAAGCAATACCCAATAAAGGCTTGGACCTCGTTAGTGCTGGACGTGTTTATGGATAATCGCTTTTTCAATTTGAGAGGTAATCAAACTACCCAGTGGGATCAAATTCTTTCTATATGGATTGACAATGACAAAGATAAACTTGGCGATCTAATTGCAAAAATAGCTAGTTCTAAAGCAACATCCACTGCAAGCAATTTGTTTATTTGGAGCGAGACTACTGAGATTGAATCAAAGATTAGCGTCCTCAAGAGAATCTCATATTTGGTTTTGCTTCAGCCAGTAGATTATTTCCTTATACATTTCGATACTTTATGTGATAAATTAACAGCATCCTTGCATACTGGCTGTCCTGATTTAATTCGCTTTGAAATCTTGACGTTGTTTAGAGTGATAAGTCTCAGATTTAGTGAAATGCATCTTGTCTCAATGTGGACCATTATTGTTCATGAACTATTGTCGGTTTTATCCATTGTCTCCGACAAGTCAACCAAAGAGTTAGCTCACCTATCAAATAATACCTTGTTGCTAATATTGAATGCATGTAAGCTATTAGATCAACTTTTAATTCAAAGCTTTGATAAGTTCAATTTGGATGAATGGTTATTCGTGTCAGCCAATGATGAATATTATTCGATGGATACAAGCAATTCAGGAACTAAATCAATTATAAATGAAATTTCAAGGACGCATGACTTCACGTACTTGAAAGATACCCCAATTAGAATAGACCGATCCTTACAAGAAGAAAACAGATTGGCTTGTCCATTATTGTATAAAACTAAACAAGTTGATCTGATTACAAAACTCAGGCTATTTTTTGACTCATTGAGTTTGATTCATTACGAAAGAACATATGGCTTATACACTATTGATATGAAGTCTTGTGTCGACGATATTATCAATGATCTCTTTGAATAGACAAAGTATAATAAATTTACGCTTACCATTAGTAGTAATTTATAATCTTGTAGACGCGTCAGCTTTCCCGGTGAGATTTTTTCTATCGCAAAATTGGAAAAATAAACTTACAACATTTGCCAACTTCTATGTTTCTATAAGCTCTCTAAATGACACTTCTACAATTTGAAGATCTTCTACAATCAGAAGGAGACGAGGAATATGAGGAATTTGAAGAATTCGATGATACGATAATAGAAATACCGCTCAATAAGCTACAACCCAAAACAATCAATGGTCTGGCCAAACCTAACTATTCAAAGTTCAGACCATCCAAAGGGAGTCCTCTCAGAAATGCTGTGGCAAACAGAGATCCGAGTGCTACTCCTTCAAAAGCATTGGCATTGGGAGAGCTAGCTAATAGCTCTGTTGACGCTCATGCTACAAACGATGAATACGCAACCTCTCCACCACCCAATACCCACTTTAACAAAGATTTTCTTTCGAGAAAGAATACAATAGGCAAGGAGGCAATACGTAGTTCATCTGGAAGGATTGGAGCAGAAATCGAGGAGTCCAGAAAACTAGATGCTCACGTCACTCCTGCTTCGCCCATATTACCCATCTGGGAACCCACGTACCCCAAGGTTGTCAATTCTCATGATACTCAAGACAGGCAATCACCAGATGACCCACCACCATTTGAACCTCCAATTGAATCAGCTTCCTTGAAAGCCAGGCAGTGCATAATAGATAAGGTAAACACTACATTAGAGTCGCTCCAAAAGAAGGAGCATCAAGCCCAACATCCAACTCCCCGAGAGCCAAACGCTATTATCAATTCGGATCTCTTGGATGCGAGAATTTCCAAAGATGATACGGGGTACTCTTTCTCTGAGCCGGAGCCAGAGCAAAATCTTGAGGCCGCTTCTTACCACATGAATGTGGCTATACACAACAAGGAAGAGCCGGAATACAATATTCCTTCTATTGTCGACCAAGCTAATATTTCCCCTGAAAAGAGTATAGACCAAATGAAGGACGACAATCTTTATGGGGGTAGTTCCACTCCGATTGCAAAGTTTGACTCACACAAGTTTGAATACTGGCTGAACAAAAAATGGATGAAATTAAGGAAAATTGTGAACCTGGCAACTATCACTAGAGAAGATGCGATCAATAGTCCGCTATTATTGAATGAATTTGGCTGTGTGAGTAAGGTAGAGTTTCAGAACAGGTATGATTACATCAAAAATTTAGAAATAAAGCATAGAAAAAGAAAGCTAAGGAAAGATAGAATAGGTAAGTGAATGAGAAATCTCGTTGTAGGTATCCTCTTTTTAGATGTTTCAAAAGTATGTATTAATTATTCTTCTTCAATATAATTTCTTTAGTAGTTATACAAATCAGAATACATTTGAAAGTATACTGCTTAATTTGTCGTCTGGCCTGGCCTTTTCTTTCAATTGTTCACTAGCTTCGCTTCTAGTGCTAGTTACTCTTCTTTGCTTAAAGTTCCTTCTTATTTCATCTTCGGCTGGATTATCATTCTTCAGATCCAGTTTTTGCTTTCTCTTTTTTTGAATATTTGTGATCATCTTCGATTTTTCAACGTTGTTTATGAATGATTTGTTAAGCTTCTGTTGGTGAGATAACTCTAGTGCCAATTTAGCCTGTCTGACTTCGTTTTCTTTGGCAATCTGTTGAGTCAAATCTAGCCATTTAAACCCGGATAAGTATTTTATATTGATAATGTCATCATAATAATACGAAGTCTTTTTGCCTCCCAACTTATTTCCATTCAAAGTGGACGCACACAATTTGGCATCTTTCTTATTCACAAACTCAACCCAACCCTCTGTAAAGTTCTTCTTTTTATTTCCTCCATATTTAACTCTCTTGTGGTATATGGCTGAATCTTCGGGCTTCAAGAACAATCGATCTATGGCACCAAATCTTGATAACACTGACCTCAACTTTGAAGGCTTCATATATGGTGGAATTCTGGACAAATAACATACGCCTGTCCGTTTGATTCGTTTTTGTTCCTTTTCTAGCTCTTCGCTGGTTAGTTTCTTTAATTTTTTGTTGTTCTTCGAAGTACTTGATTTTGATTCATCCAATTCGTCGTCCCCTTCTTCTTTGTCTCCTTCAAGTTCGCCTTGTTCACCCTCATCATTCTCTTCTACTTCGCTTCCATAGTCTGCATCGTCCCTTCGTTTCTCTGGGTCACTATATTCTTCTTCTACTTCGTCATTTTCCTCTTGCTCTTCTTCTTCTTCGTCTTGATCTCCAAAAGGTCTCGAAATTGGTTTCAGCTTAGATTTAAAATTGAAGATTCCTTCACCTGCTGGTTCGATGTTATCAGCATCATCAAAATCTTCGTCGTCGCTGGTAAGTGACGTTTCAAGCATGAATTTAGCAGTCGTTTTCATTTCGTATTTTCTTATGGTAAGAATTGAAGGGATGAGATGCCCATCTGATCTCTTTTTTTTTTTTGGTTCCAGTCCAGAAAAAAACTCCTTACCCACGAATATCTAGGGGTTGGACGAAACATACATCATAATTTTATGTCCATAACGTTAATATGGAGAGAAAATACATTCTGCAATGTGCTAATATCTTTTGTTCAATTCCATACCCGTTGAATGATACAATCCTTGCAAGTACAATGCTCTTAGAGCAAGCAAGGATTGTAAATTCTATTTGGTTTACAACTTCAAAATAACCTAAGATTTTCCATAGGGCACCAGTTTACTTTCGGACTGCACCCAAGGTCCACGATTTATTCTAATTTTCCTGTGCAGCAACAATAATCGGGAAATAATAACTGTGTCATGCGTACCCCACTCCAGCCCCTGGACATCTCGAAACCTCATATAAAGTCGATTGCCTGACCAAAAAATTTCCTACTCTAAGTTCCATTTTTTGAATATCTACCTCACTAGACCTGTCAACCATGGGTTACCCAGATCCCTTAAAAGCCTCCATAAGAAAGGTGACAAACAATTGCGTCACTGTCTCATGTCCCTTTAAAATTATTGGGCTCAATATTGGTGGCCGGATGAGCATTTTGAATTATAGTGGCAACTTAATTGTTTGGTCACCAATTCCATATAGGCAAGAGATCTTCAATCTTGCAATTAAGGAATTGATGGGTGAATCCCCCTATCAAATTAAATATGTCATTGTTGCTAATAATGAGCATAATTTGCATGCCCATGAGTATAAAGAAAAGTTTGGTAGTTGTAAAATCATTGCCGGAGAAACTGTAAAGTTAAAGAATGGATGCCAGATAGATCATAAGCTAAGCGTTAAGTTTTATGACCGCGTTATCAGTGGTGATGACTGGGTTGAAAAATTGGAAATAGATGATTCATTCTTTGCCCAAAATTTAGAAATGTTGTGTTTGAAAAATCATAGCGGCAACGATATTTGTCTATTTGACAAACTGACTAAGAGCCTATACGTTGGAGATTTGGTTTTTAACCTAGGAGTTCCCGGTACGACTTCCGGACACGTACAGTTGGAGCAATATAGCGAAGCTACTGGCTATCCCAAAGGTTTCAACCCACATGGGGGGCTTTCCTTTATCACTAGATATACTCAACCGCGCAGTCGGGTTTCTCAATGGCTAGCTTGGATTCTTGCTGGTACGAGAACGGAGGCTGGTATGGCCTCTATAAGGAAGATCAACAATTGGGAATTCGATCGAATTGTTCTTATCCACGGAAATGTTATTGAAAAGGATGCAAAGGAGGAATTCAAAAGGCTTTTTTATTATTGTTTTTATTAAATAGTACATGATATATTCGCCATGCAGTAAGGGAGTGGCATTTGGGAAATAATCTCAATAAATGGAATCGTTCAAGTAGTGGCAGAAGACCATTCGCTTTAGACGGATTGTACTCGAGTAAAGAAATGTATATATAGACTGCTAGAAACCTTGCCAGTTTATCGCATCTCTCAGGTTAAATTCCTGCAGCTCACTCTTAATTCGCTTGAAACTATTACCAACGGATTTTTCTTAGAATTCAATTTGATTTCAGGGAAGACTTTGGTTTCGCAGTTACTCGCTAATCTTCAATAAATTACCTATTCAAAATAGAGAATTGCACCCAAAAGCCGCTTGCATCAGAATTGAGATTGTTACTCTTGGGTTCCTGTTTATTCATAATATCGATTGGACTCTCTAGAACTCCACCAACCGTTATCAAGGTCCTCCTCAGAGTCTTACACATCTACTGTTTCATAGAAGCATGAACTAGACCAAAGACTAACTCCACGAGAGCCTTCGCTAAAGATCTTTAATCTCAGGTTACAACGAGATGCCGACGAATGTTTGCAAGTGAATGTGGGGGGTGGCATAATAGAAACTAACACCAAGACAAAATTAATCACATTTTAGATCGACGCAAAACTTGCAAACTGTATTCTCCTACAGTTTACGACTGCCAACGGTAATTCGTAATTACTAGCTTTTGGAATTGTTAATGTCACTAGTTATCAGAGAACTAAGTCGTATCAAAAATTACCCTTCATGTATACTTCCCTGCCGGGGGCACAGCTATGGCTGAAATCATTTCCCAAGACACCTCTTGTAATATTTTAAAAATGCATACAGATATTGTTTGTGGAGCTCTCTGGAGCCCTGGCTACTGTCATCTTAGTCGAGAGCTTTACCCAGTGCTGGTCTACGCTGGAGTGGTGTGCTTGCGCATAGCAGAGAGAGCATCTAAGTTTCCTTCCTACTCCAAGACTCAACACTGAGAGCGGCCCACAGATGACAAAACCGTTGCTGGATCTTGTTAACCCATCTCAAGTGGGTCTAGCAACAACTACCCACCCATCCCGAATAAGACTGACGAGATGAGCCTATAAGTCATCGAGGTGACAAACAGACAATGGCGATTCTCGAGCTGTATGACCCTATCATCCCTATGTAGCTTTGATACACTATCGGTTGCCTGATAGCTGGGCTCTACCTGTTCACTATGCAGTACCTACGCTCCTCCTGGAATTGTGGGTATGGATATAAGGAGGACTAAGGCAATCTTTAGGGGCAAGTCGCAGGTTAGCTTAAGCCGCCCCCCCAGTAGGTCTAGTAGCTTTCCCTGATAGCCCAGGGATACCTCAGACAGCTTTTCTGATGTCGGTATCACATCGAAACTCTCCAGTTTCCCCTGTCTTATATCTCTAGTCACATCGTACTAGTCTTCTTCGTTTCATCCAGTGCTGATGTTAGTAGAGAGCTAGGACCAGGGCGGTAGGTGTCAACACCATGCATACCACATTGGTTCAGCGTTTTGCCGTACATAGTTTAGACCGACCGGTGAGAGTCCCAGATTTCCGTGAGGTAGTCTGAGATCATACTGCTGGGAGTGGCCCAAGTGG